TTGATAAATGATGAAATGATATGAGTTTTCAGATGAAGTGATCAAAGCTATCTATAGCCATATGAAAAAGTACTCTTAACTCACTATTGATTGGAGAAATGCAAATTAAAACAATGCTGTATTACTACCTCTTTCTTGCCTGTTTGATTGAGTAATAGGACAGAAAGGGTAAATGACAAATGTTGATGGGAAAGTGGGAAAAATGAAACTTTAATGCACTGTTGGTGGAGTTGTGAACTAATTCACCATTCTGTAGCAGTTTGAAACTATGCCCAAAAGGCTATAAAACCAGGCATACCCTTTGACCTAGCAAAACCATTACTTGGTCTATATCCCAAAAGAGATAAAAAAACAAAAAGGAAAAGGACCTACATGTATAAAAATTTTTATAGCAACTCTTTTTGGGAGGTAAAAATTTAAAAAGTGAGGGAATGTCCATCAATTGGGGAATGGCTGAACAAATTGTGGTATGTGATTATGATAGAATACTATTGTACTATAAGAAATGATGAGTAGGATGCTCTCAGAAAAACCTGGGAAGACATGCATGGGCTGATGCAAAGTGAAATGTACTGTGTACAAACTAACAGCAATATTTTAAGAGGATCAGCTGTGAATGACTTAGCTATTCTCAGTAATACGACTATCCAAGACAACTCTGAAGGACTTAATGAAGAAAAAATGTTCTCCACTCCCAGATAAAGAACTCATGGTGCCTGAATACATATTGAAGCATACATTTTTTTACATCATTTTTCTTAATTTTTTTTGTCTATGATTTCTTTCACAACATGGCTATTGTAGATATGTTTTGCATGACTACACATGTTTAACCTATATTGAATTGTTTGCCTTCTTGATGAGGAAGGGTGAGGAGGGAGGAAGAGAGAACATTTGGAATTCAGAGTTTTAAAAACAAATGTTAAAAATTGTTTTTATATGTAACTGAAGAAAAATAAAATACTAGATAAATACAAAAATAAACTCAAGATAAACTTCAGCTTAGTATTAAGAATAACTTGACTGTCAGTATGCTAAAATATGAGCATGGGTCTTCAGGAGAAGTATGGTATCTACCTTTCTGAGAATTGCCAAGAAACAAGTTGTCTTTTCCCAAAGGTTTAAACATTAATCTGACAGATGTTCTCTTGAGATATCTTCAGCTCTGTTTCTGAGACCCCTTGAATACCCTAGAGCTTTCAAAATTAAGGTACTTTATTTTTAACCAATCATGTTTTACCTAATCTTTGTCAAAAAGAAACTCAGTATTGAATACTTAAGAACACAAAAACAGAAACAAAAATTAAAATAAAAAGACAGCTGTCAAAATTACATTGAAACAGGGGCCACTCAACCATTTCTAAGAATTCCTGTGGGGCACATATTGACTAAGAGAGCCACTTATTAGTGTTATCTGTGTTCAATGATATTTTAATTCATTTTGTTAAACATTTCCCAAATGAATATTAATCAGGTTCCTTCACTCTCAGGAGTGTTGTAGTCTTTGTGTTTCATACTTTTGGTTTAAGAGATTATTTATTCCAAATCTCTCATTTCACAAGTGAAGAAACTGAGACCCAGAGAAGTTTAGTGATTTGCTCAATATCACTAAGCTAGTTAGTGCCACAGCTCAGATTCCACAGCTGAGACCAGAGCCCTGGACTTTAATTTCCAGAACAGCATTTTTTTACACTGTGCAATGGTTTAAAATGGTCCCTGTTATTTTGTTCAAGGCTCAGCTATTCTGTATCTTAGCTTCCTTATCTGTAAAAACTGGAATATTAAAAGTGCTTATCTGAGAGACACTGAAGGATGGTCACTACGTCCCAAAAAACCATTTTCATGGTGTATAATCTTGTTGACAATAGCAGCAGGAAATTTTCATGTTTTGAGTTAGTTCCCTTCTCTGTCCCCCACATACAACCAGTTAAGTTTTAATCTGTCTTTGTTCTACCCAGTAACATTTTGGAGCAGTGAAAACAATTTGCTGTTATTCTAGTGATTGGGACATGGTCCTGACTGGATTGCCTCATTCTCCTATGCTGACAGTCTAAGACTTAGAAAAGATTATTCCCATCCATTAATTCCAAGAAAATGTCCAATACAGGATAATCATGTGGTAATGTGCTTTTATATGTGATGTTGTCAAGGTTATCACTTTTTAATGTTTCCTAGTTGATCTGTAGCAGTGATCTCCAAACTCTTCTGATTGTGCACTCCTCTCAGCAAAAAAAAAAAAATCTTTGCATGTGAACCCCCAGTATTTTTTTATTTACTTTTAAAAATAAATTTATATATATATATATATATATATATATATATATATATATATATACATATATGTATGTATGTATCTAGGATACTAATAATTGTAATATAAAATTTTGTGTAACATTACATAATTATATAATTAGAATGTCCATTAAATATAAATTTTTAAAAGTTCAAAATAAGGATGAAACAATCCTACAGGCAATAGGGAGCCACTAGATTTAGCTGAAAATGACAGTCATATGATCATTTAGTTGCTAGCTATGTAGGGAAGAGTTTGGATTGGGGAAAGAGTTGAGGTAGAGAAGCCAATTTAGGTATTTATATAGCTCAAGGGAGAGGTGGTGAAGGTCTGAGCTAGGGTGGTTGCTATGTGAGTAGAGAGAATGAGACAGATAGTTGAAATGTTATTGAAACAGAATCAACAAGACTTGGCAGTCATTTGAGTGTGAGTCTGTAGGTTGAGGGAAAGTTGGTAGACTAATATTATAGAGTTTGTGAAAAGCTGGATGACTGAGGTTGAGTACCCTCACATTAATAGGGAAATACAAAAGTTGGGTGAATTTTAGGGAAGATAACATAATGATTATCTGAGATTTTGATCGTTATCTAGACATGTCCATTCATCTTGTGTAACTCATTTGGCCCAATCCAAAACAAAAAGGAAGAAAGTGAGCTTTTAGTCACCAGTTACTTCCCTGTAGTGCAAAGCCTGCTATGTATGAGATCCCTGTTGTAGCTAAGAGGTATTTCAGAGGCAGGGATTTAAGACAGAATTTTTCTAATGACACCAGCATAGTTGCTTTGAGTAAGGGTTAGTTTGGGTTATCACTGCCCTGAGGGGAAAGTGCCAGGCTCGGATAGGAAGGGGTTGGCAGCTTGCCCAGTACTTAGAGGGGCATAGTTTTGAAGGATAAGGAATGCTGTGGTTGTCATGCCCCACAATTGACTATCACAGCAAAAATGGAATGGCCCTGTCTTACCACTCTCTGATTGGTTCAGTACACATCTTTTGGCATCAGGCCATGGCTGTTCATTTTGAAGATCACTGCTCTCTAGCTTATCTGTGTACTTTCTAAAGTGTGGTGCCCAGATCTGAGCGCAGCATACTATATGTGGTCAGATTAAGGTAGATTATACCACCAATATCATTTAGATCCTGTGCCTAAAATTTCACTAGCTCTTTGGAACTAGCATATCACACTATTAATGCAATGGAGTCTAGCCACAGGGTGATATAACCATATGAAAGGTGAGAAAGGTGAACCAGTGGATGTGTCTATGGGAGAGCCCAAGTTCCTGGAGTTGGATTTCCTGGAGTAGGCAACTTGAGGAAGAGGGAGGATCAAAGTGAGTATAGACTCTTCATTCAGCTAGTACAATTGAATACCTGTTTTGTCTTACTGATAAGTGTCCATTACTAGTACCTGAAGTCAGTGATGACAAAACTCTATCAGTTTTGTAACTGAGTGGTACAGTTTTCAGACTCCAAATAGTTTCTCTGATAACAGGGAAAGAGATCATTTGGGAGGGCAGAGGAATGTACATCAGAGTAAGAAGGGATGTGTAACACTTTTTCCCAAGGTTGTTAATATCAGATAAAATAAATGATGTGAAAATACTTAGTAATCTTATTCTCAAAAAAATTATCATACTTGTGATTTCATCAGTGTATGGATGGCAAATTTTTGCTTTCCAGTGAATGGTGTTAAAAGGGTGCCCAGGACACTGAGATTTTAAGTCTTAGAGTAATATTAAAGGTGGGTATCAGAGTTGGGAGTTAAACTTAGGTCTTCCCAACTCTGAAGCCAGTTCTCTATCTGCTCTGCCACACTGTCTCTCCATCCATCTTAGTGCTGCATATGTGTAAAGAGAAGCTATTACTTTGATCCATATGATGAGAGTAAGTATAGGTCCTTGTGCTGAATTTGAAAAATGTTGATCTGATTTGAACAGTTTGTGGAATGCTTTGTGAAATGTTTCCATGCAGAAAGCCTTTATGAGAATAATTAATAATTAACATCATAACCTGGCTTTATGGTTGTCCCCTATACAGCATTAAGATATTGTTGATACTTTGATGGGTCCAGATTCTCTCAATTGGAGGATTCTCTCCACCAAAAGCATATCATAACGCTTCCATGCCTTAAACCTCATTGACCCATTTGTCACACTCCAATATTGCCTTTGTAGAATGGCAGAAGCACTTGGGGCTGGGGACCATTTTAAATTTTTCTCAAGTCGTGAATTGTCCCTGGACTTCATCCTTGAGGGGCCAGAATTCTGATGAAGAGCTTCTCTAATCTGACCACATGGAAAGCACATGATAAATTACTGAGACTGTATTTGCAGCCTTAATAGCTTGCTTGATAGTACTGCTGGACATTTGGTTCCATTGGCATAGCCAGAGGACCTTCCCAGGGTCATCTCTGCACCAAAATGAAGTATTAGAATTAAGGAAGAACTTTAACAATCACCCAGTACATCTATGTATGAAAATTTTATTAGCTGAAAGCATAATAGCACAAATAAAGGAAAGTGATCCTACAAAGGAAATTACTTTTATTTTTAAAAATCATTCCTTCTTATAATTCTTAATACCAAAGAACATATCTGTAATGACGTTTAATTGAATTAACAATTTGACAGAAAAACAGAAAGAAGACACTTCTGCCCTCATCCTGGGGTGTATGGAATAGTCTTCATTTACCTTATCTTATTTCTTTCAGCCTGTGGAGAAACACTTCAGGAGTCTACTGGCAACTTTTCTTCTCCGGGATTTCCAAATGGCTATCCTTCCTATACACATTGTATATGGAGAATTTCTGTGACTCCAGGGGAAAAGGTATTTTTTACAAAAAAAAAACCAAATATTTTATTTCAGTTACTTATAAAGTAGCACACATGGTTTTTAGAAAGTGAATTTGTTTTAGTTTTTTTTTTTTTTTTGTAGACTCTACCAAAGTGAGAGACTGAAGGCCTCTGGAAAATCATAGTAGAATTCATTAAGACACTATGACCAAGGTATTATTTAGTAGTAAATGCAATTTATGATCTTTCAGTGCCTCATATTCTCTCAGTTATTCAGTTACTATTTAAATACCTAGTATGTGTAAAGCTTTGTACTTACAGAGAAAGAATTGCAGAGAGCACAGTCTCTGTATAATTTAGTTTGAAGACGACAGTACTTTCCAAAATGTTAGCAGTACTTGATTATTTGGGCAGTTACCTGGTACAGTGGATAGAGCACTCGGTTTGGAATCAGGAAGACTCATTTTCATGAATTCAAATCTGGCTTCAGACACTTACTAGCTGTGTAACCCTAGGCAAGTCACTCTACCATGTTTACCTCAGTTTCCACATCTGTAAAACAAGCTAGAGAAGGCAAATGGCAAACCACTCCAATATCTTTGCCAGGAAAACTCTATATGGAGTCATAAAGGGTCAGATGTGACTGAAGCAATTAAACAATAACAAAAAATTAGATTATTTCCCTGACAGGAATGGGAAAAAAAAAAGAACCTTTATCTCTTTGCTGTGCTTTAATTGTCCTCTTTGGACACCAATCAGTGGTTATTTTCTTCATGTACACTTTATTATTTCAGTGGATTTGTATCCTTCTAGATAGGACTGCTGCCTCCTACAGGCAGTTTCAGACCCATATGCATCTTCTCATTTTATGTGATTTTTGTCTATGCCTTTATAAACTTTCACTAGAGGAGCTACCCAACATAGTAGAGACCTTCCTTGTGTTTCCAAAAATGTCTCCCAGGTATCATTGTAGAAGCACATAAGCACATAGAGGGTTTCTAAAAGGGTGAGTTTTGAAAAGCAGAGTTTAATTTTGATTGAACACAAGGATGATGTATAGCTAATAAACACTGATCTGAGGGTAGGATTCATAAGGAAGAACTGGCATATTGTTCATGGAATGCAACTTCCACAGCATCAGTGTTGGAGGGACATCAGGGACCATCTAGTACAGCTCATGCCTGACTAAGAATCCCTTCTTATGACTCTTTCCCAGCCTTTGGACGTTTTTACTGAGAGGAGGACCTACTAGTTGTAAGGTATTCCACTGTTTTTAGACATCTCTAGTTTTCAGGAAGCTAAGGATTCTTTCTCAGGGAAAAAATGTTTTTAAATGTATACAATAAATTACATAGGATTACAAAAGAATCTTTGTAGATGTAATTTTTTTTTTTAATTTTTCATCATCCAACTTCACAGATTTCTTCAAATACATTTGCAGGCCTATTTGGGATTGCTGGTTCCCTGGTTAAGGAGTCTGGCTCTAAATATGGGATGATTAGGGCAGAGTACTGTGTGACTCTTATTTTCTTCAGTAGTACTATAGAAAATTACTTTCAGCTTTTAACGCCAAGCTTATACTTTCTAAATAAGTTTGTTTGTAGAAAACCAATATAATTGTTTTTTTTTTTTGCAAACGCTTTTTGCTTATTCAGGGCTCCTTTAAAATCTTTTTAAAAAATAAGATAGTAAGGTTTTAGCTTGTTTGATCTATGTAAATCTCTACTTCTTATACTTCTTTTAAGTGGGACAAACTAAGTATAGGGATTTGCTACCCATAGAAGAGCCAGGGTGGGTTGAGTGATTCAGCTGTCTAATGGCAGTGATGGGGGGGGGAGGAGAGCAGGGTAGCATCATGTAGGGGAAATTATAGGGCATCCCCTGATGAAGGGATGAAGGAATAGGCCAGAAAGCAGGTTCACTGACGGGGAGTTTCTTCCACAGGCGGCACAGAGTAGTGGGACGTGCATCAGTCAGAGAGTTAGAAGAGAGCTATATTTTTATTCCTGTGGTTGCCACTGACCAACTCTCTGATGTGGGGAAGTCACTTCATTCAAGTTTTATGCCGAAATGAACCTTTGAACTCTCTTGTCCTCAGTTTTCTAGTTGTACAATGAGGAGGTTGGATCAAATGATCTCTAAGGTCCTTACTGGCTCTAAAATTCTGTGATTCTGTTGGAATGTTTATGGACATAGTCATTTAGAAACCACCATTTTCTCTTCTGACCATTCCCAGGGAAACCAGGACTCTATTGGAACAGAAGTGGTGGGGTTTAAAGATCATTTTTTTAAAAAATTATTTGCTTAATTTATAAGAATACAAGTCATTCCCCTCTTGATAAATGATCAAAGGATATGAATAGGCAATTTTCAGATGAAGAAATTAAAGCCATTTATAGTTATATTAAAAAATGTTCTAAATTACTATTGATTAGAGAAATGCAAATCAAAACAACTCTGAGGTACCACCTCACACCTATCAGATTGGCAAACATTGACAAAACAGGAAAATGCTAAATGCTGGAGAAGATGTGGAAAAATTGGAATACTAATGATTGGTGGAGTTGTGAAATGATCCAGCCATTTTGGAGAGCAATTTGGAACTGTGCCCAAAAGGCTATGAAAATATGCATAGCACTTCTAGGGCTGTATCTCAAAGAGATCATAAAAATGGGAAAAAGACCCACATGTACAAAAAATTTATAGCAGGTTTTTCTGTGTTGGCAAAGAATTGAAAATTGAGAAGATGCCCATCAATTGGGGAATGGCTGAACAAGTTTTGGTGTATGAATGTGATGGAATACTATTGTGCTACAAGAAATGAAGAGCAGACCAACTTCAGAAAAACTTGGAAAGAGTTGTATGGACTGATGCTGAGTGAAGTGAGCAAAACCAGGAGAATGTTGTACACAGTAACAGCCATGTTGTGTGATGACTAACTTTGATAGACTTCTCAGCAATGCAAGGATCTAAGACATGTCCAAAAGTCTCATGATGGAAAATGCTATCCACATCCAGAGAAAGAACTATGGAGTTTGAATACAGATTGAAGCATATTATTTGCTCTTTTTTTTCTTCTATTTTGTTATGTATCCTCTTTCTTGTGCTTCCTCTATTGGTTCTAATTCTTCCTTACAACATGACTAATGTGAAAATATGTTTAATAGGAATGTATATATAGAGCCTATATCAGGTTGCCCACTATCTTGGGGAGAGAGGTGGGGAGAGAGGGAGAAAAATTTAAAATTCAAAAATATATGAAAGTGATTGTTGAAAACTAAATTAATAAAAAATAATTGTTTGCTTTAATATGGATAGAAGGGCACAGTTCTTGGAACTTGCCTCAGGCCCTAGTTAGACCTGTGTTTACCGCATAAAGTCCTTAGAAAGAATAATAAAATGGCATATAAATCAACATTATAAATATTGTCAGGCCTCCACATTATGGGAATTAGGTAGTAATGTGTATAATTCAAAACAGTGGCTAGTCCACATACTATTTATATTTGATTTAGAGAAGGAATTTCCTAATTTGTGGAGAATGGGAAAGGAAGAACAGCAATAGATATTTTTTTTATATTTAAAAATATTTTGTTTCTCCAGAGCATTCATAGTATGTCCTAGAGCACCCTGGTAGGAGCAGAAAACCAAATTAACATTTATCATTTGCTGTGGAATAGCCACAGACAGCCACAGAAGGAATAATTAAAAATTCATCATAAATACTAAAGGAAATCCATCATCAAAATGTTTGGAGCTATTCTGAGTATTCTAAAATAATAAAGAAATTCTATGAAATTGATATTATTGGAGCAAAAGTTTAAAAAAATGAGTAGATATCTGCTAATTACTATTGTTGTTACAAAACATAATGAAATATGTGATGTGGTATGACAATTTTTTGATCTGTGATCTTAGCACTGACACATTCTCTACAGTACAGGTGACAACCCATCCATGAAACTGTTTTCTATATACTTCCACAGAATTCATCCCACCTGTCTGGGAGAAATGACCTTCCTGAGAAATCTTGCATGCATTCCAGTGGATCATATGGCATGTCCACATCTATAGATTTTCCCCTCACTTTGTAGAATAGAATTAAAAAACCCTAGGTTATCTCTGCTGATGCAATTTCATTGATTCTTGATCTGTGATCTTTTTGAGAAGATCACATTATGCCATGGGAAGAGCACTGGAATTGGATCCAGAAAACATCAACTTTAGTTCTGCCATTGTTTCTTGTGACTTTGGACATCTTTGAGTCTGATGGGGTCTCCAACTATAAATGGCAACAATAATGCCTTTCCCCCCACCCTCCCTTCCTCTTTTTTCTTTCTTCTCCCTCCTTCCCTTCTTCCCATGGTGGTTGTTGGTGTCAAATGTGATCAGATTGTAAATCTACAGTATAAGGGGTTGGCAGATAAAATGCTAACCATTGTGAGAATTGTTTTTATGAAGGGCATTAATTGTCAAATGGTAAGCATTGACTAAATACCTACTATATACCAGGCAATGTGCTAAGCAACAGATATCCAAGGCAAGAATGAAAGTAGGCCTTTTCCTCAAGTAATCGTGCCTTTGATTAGCAAAGACAGTGTGTGCTTATGCAAGGCTATCCAAAATATACTCAAAATAAATACAAGAAAGTTTTTAGAAAGAAGAGAAACTAGCAGCCAGATGGATCAGGAAAGGCATCATACGTGATGTGGTGTTTGTGTAGATTCTAAGAGGCTGAAATGAGGAGAGAAGACAGACATGAAGCAGAGCCTGGGCAAAGTTTTGGAGAATGGAGAGAGAATGTTGTCTGCGAAGAATGAGGCTATTTTGGCCGGACTCTAGGGAGTGTGAAGGGATGTAATGTATAACCAGCCTTGGTTGAAGTCAGGTTGTCTGAGGTTTTAAATGTTGGACAAAGGACTTCTTATTTGACCCTGGAGTTAATAGGGAGCTGCTGGAGTTTATTGAATGTGGCAGGAACATGGGCAGACCTGTGATTTCAGAATATCCCTTCAAGGGGGAATACGTAAATTA